AATAAAGTCTCTTAAAACAAATAAAATTCTTGCAAGAAAATCTAGGAGACTGGGAGATGCAAGAATATACCTTATTAACCAATGCTACAAAGCCAGAAGGTATTTTTTTATAGAGGAAGATAGATACTTGGTTGTATACATATATAATATTTTAATGGCAAAAGATATAATTATAATAAAAGAAAAAGATAAATGCTAGATCTGGGAAATGTATTTGTGCCCTTTGAGCACCTCTATGACAGTCTGAACACAATAGAGAACAAAGCAACCAAGTCCCTGCCCTCACGTGCTAGGCATTGTTTTAAGGATTTCCATGTTTTTGTGTTTGAATTATGTCCCCTAAAGGATATATTGACGTCTCAATCCCAGTTCCTATGAATGTGACCTTTAATGGAAATAGTCTTTTCAGATGTAATTCAAGTTAAGCTGAGGTCATACTGGATTAATTGAGTCCCTTACAACAAGAAGAAAATTGGGACAGGGACACACAGATAAGGTTCATGCTGAGAAGACAAAGGCATAGGAGAAAGAGGCCCTGTGAAGTCAAAGGGGAAGACTGGAGTGATGCAGCTACAAGCCAGGGGTGCTCACGAGGGCCAGCCACCAGCAGACACTGGAGAGGCAGAGGAGCCTCCTCCCCGGGGGCCATCAGAGGGAGCACGGCTCTGCTGAGAACTTCTTTTCAAACCTCTGGCTTCCAGAATGCATGAATATATTCTGCTGCTTTGCTTAAAACAATAGAATAGCTTACCCAGATGTGGTAATTGTTACAACAACCCTAGGAAACCAATACATGTACGTTACCCCATTGAATCCTTATAACAATCTGATGAGGTACCTATGACCATCTTCTCCAATGCAGGGATAAGGAAGCCTCCGCACAGAGAGGGGTGCTCCAGGCACATGGTTATTAAGAAGGAGAGCTGGGATTTGAATCCTAGTAGGCTGGCTCCAGAGTCAATATTTTTAATGCCAACATCATGAAACAAATCAATTTGTAAAATCGATTCATTTATTTTAAAATATTATTGGGCACTTATATGCACTGTTCTAGAAGCTAGGGGATAGGGCAGAAAGTGAAAAGACGAGGATCCCGCCCTTGCCAAGCTTCCGTCCTAGTGAGGGGAGACTGAGGACTACAAGGGAAGCAGTGTCCTTAGGAGAGAACCAGCCTGAATCGGTGCACAGGGGTCAGCATCTAGAAAGGAGCCTTGGGAGCCAGGGGAGCATGCGGAGAAGACAGGGTCAGATTAAGAGAGGTGTGGAGACTTATGGAGAAGAAAGTCTCAGGGCTGAGAACCCAAAGGGCAAGGGATGAACTGGGGGTCTGTGTAATGATGTCTATAATAAACAAACAGCTCTTATTAATGGACAGGAGGACAGAGTATGTAAATAGGCAACTCATAGAACAAATCTCAATGGCAAAATAAATTAATAAATTTACTAGTACTTGATGAAATTAACATAAGTTCAAATAAAAATGCTCTATCACTTTAAAACCATAATATCATACCAGCAAAAATTAGAAAGAGTTGCCTATTGCTAATAGGGGTACATAGAAAAGATGCTATTAAACACAGCTATTAGAAATGTGAAATGTTATTGTATTTTTGTAAAAAGGAAACAGATAACGCATTAAAATAAAAATATAATATCTTAAACCAAGCAGTCCTACCCCCGGCATCTATTTCATGGAAACAAAAGCATCAGTATGTAAGGACACATACAGAAGGATTGTTAAAAGAGGAAAAGAAAAGTAAAAAGGAATTAATGTCCATCAAAAACAGAAAGCCTAATGTGCAGGGCATTGGAATACCTTGCAGAAGATTTATGTTTCTACTGAGAAAAAATAGAAAAGCCAGATGAAATACATCAAAACATCTGTTCAAAGCATTAGAGAGCTGTGGAGGCAACCAGGACACAAAGGGACAAAAATCTGACAGAAGGGGGCTCAGACTCTGACATTCTGAGATCAGGGCAAAGGGTTTAGGATTAAGGCAGATGACCCATGTAGGTCACTACCAGCAGACAGAGGGCCAAGTAAGGCTTATAAGACTGGACAGACCAAAATGAGAGGCCTGGGCCAGGCACAGTACTTGTAATTCCAGCACCGTGGGAGGCTGAGGCAGGAGGACCACTTGGGGCTATGAGTTTGAGACTAACCTGAGCAACATAGCCAGACCTCACCTCTACAAAAAATTAAAAAATTAGCCAGGCATGTTGGTGTGCATCTGTTATCCTAGCTACTTGGGAGGCTGAGGTGGGAGGATTGCTTGAGCCAGAAGTTCAAGGTTACCGTGATTATGATCATGCCATTGAACTCCAGCCTGGGTAACAGAGCAAGTCTGTATTTCTAAAGGGGAAAGAGAAAGAAGGAAAAACAGACAAAAAGAGAGAGAGAGAGCCCTCTTTGCTACAAAAAGTACAGAATTTAGCTGGGTGCAGTGGCACAGACCTGTAGTCCTAGCTACTTGGGAGGCTAACGCAGGGGGAACACTTGAGCCCAAGAGTTTGAGGCTTAAGTGAACAATGATAACACCACTGCACTTCAGCCTGGGCAACAGAGTGAGACACTGTCTCAAAAACAAAACAACAACGGGCGGCACCTGTAGCTCAAAGGAGTAAGACGCCGGCCCAGTATGCTAGAGGTGGTGGGTTCAAACCCAGCCCCGGCCAAAAACTGCAAAACAAAACAACAACAACAAAAAAGAAATCCAAATTCCTGAACAGCTTAACAGCTAAACAACACTGAGCCACGGTCTTCACTGCTAAGCTTTGGTGTCCTCATTTGTGAAATGGGCGTAACATAATCTATACCCCATGGGTTCCTGTGAGGATTAGAACCGGCCAGGCACTAGAAGAGCTGAGCACATGGGAGCTGTAGCTATTACCACCATCAGCGTTACTCCAGGGATGATGACCATTATCATCACAATTGTCATGGCTCTTATTGCCATCGCAAAAATATTATAGCCAATTATTCTTAAAGATCTATAGAAAAATCAATTCCAAAGGTTTCCTTGCCACTGAAACTCGACATTCCCAATCCCTTATCATTTGGGTGCTCTGCAGTATGCCTGACCTGATTCTTTCTTCCTACAGCCAAGCCCATGGGTGAGACAGAGAGCTTCCGGAGGGCTCTGAGCAGGAGGGCCAGCGTCGGGGCCACCGCGGCCACGGTGTTCAGAATAAACCATAGCATGGCCTGGGTGGGAGCAGGAGGCAGCGAGACAGCGCTGCAATAATCCAGAGGGAGACATGGGAACACAGGGCAAGGGTCGTCTATTCTGGAACAATCTAGGAGGGAGCCGAAAGGTTTTGTTGACAAATTGGATGTGGGTGTAAGAGGAAGCCCTGAGCAGTGGAACACAGGTGGTTGCCTCTGACTGAGTGGTTGCCTCTGCTGGCAGAGTGGCCTTGAAGACACATCTCTGCGATGTGCCTAGGTGGGCAAGGGGAGGCTCAAGGTGCGATGGACGGAAACTGGGCATGGCTGGCTTATCAGCAACAGACAAAGCAGTAAGATGGGAGGAAAGTCAGCAGCTGTGGGCGTTTGTCCAGCTTTGCCACCCTCTCCTGCCTCTGCTGTAAGGCGGTCACGTTCCACTCTGACAAACCAGAGTCAAACAAGGCATTGTTAGTCTCCTGCAGCCTTGGGAGCTGCCTCTAAGAATTGGTGCCGAGCACTGAGCTAGTTCAAAGCTATTAGGCGCTGGGGCAAGGATGTTGGGCCAAAACTTGGGGTGAAATAAGACCCAATGCAGAAGGCTGGGAGGTGAATGCGGCCTCGGGAGTAGACGACTGGGGCAAGGACACTGGTGCCAGGTAACTTGGGGTGAAATAAGACCCAGGACAGAGGGCTGGGAGGTGAATGCAGCCTAGGGAGTGGGTGACTGGGGCTTATTTACCTTCCAGCCCTGGCTCCCGCACCATCACTTGCCCCATTAAAACTGTCATGTGGAAGTCATCAATGACTATTGGCCACCTGGTCCCCCACAACAGCCATCTGAGGACCCTTCCTCTGCTTTTGTCCTCTATGTCTTAGCCCCATCCTCATTTCCTATCCCCGGCCTATTTTTTCTGAGTCTTTCTTGAATCTGTTCTCCTCACCATCCCCTTATGCTCACAGAACACCAGCCCACTGAGATCTTTCAGTTTTGTTCTGTTTGGGGAGGGGAGAGGGTCTGGGCCATTTGCGCAGATACCCAGCCCCATTTCCCTCCTCCAGCCCATCCTGTCTGACACTGTGATCCCAAAGCTTAGAAATAAGAGCAGGAAGAGCCTGTGACGGTGCCCGGCGTAGGGCATAGGGGCTACTAATGTAATCATTCTCTGCCTGGAAATACATTTCTCTCTTTCTTCTGAGTTTGTCCACATGGACACTGTTACATATTAACTGAAATGCTTCCCTTAAAAATAGCTGAAGATGATTAACTGGAGGGATCATAATAGGAATTTTAAGCAATCATTTAAATTAATTCCTGAGAAGTCTGTGCAGAACCCTTCAAGCTGAGCCCTTTCTGGCAGAAACTCACTAGTTCCCATAAGTACATGCAAATCAGCCTCCGAGTTTCCCATATTTCACCACCAGATTTCTTTCTTTCTTTCTGCTTTTCTTTTTTATACTTTCGAGAGGAACAAACCCCAGCTCTGTTATCACAGGATCAGGAGAATCTTCACTGGTGGGCAGGGGCCTGGGCCACTTCTATTCCCACCTCCACAGTGCCAGTGCTCAGGAGATCACCAAGCAATGCATGAATGAATGCTTTGTTTTAAAAGTTTAAATATCAAAACCGGCCACATCCCTACTGACATTATTCTCTAAAGAAATTTGCCAAAGACAACTTATGACCAAAAGAATTCTTTTAAATTGTTCATAGAAGCCTGGAAGTGGATGTGCTTTGTCCTGGGATAAACCACGATCCTTTGAAAGCCTGTTAGTGTAATAAAACCCAACTCCTTCAGAAAAGAAATAGGTGCAGAGAAACCCGTTCTCCTACCTTCCTAAATTCACGCACACTGATTTTCCCATTAGGTTCTTTGCCAAAGTCAAGAAACCGTCTTCTGAATGCTGGGTCCTGCTGCTGGATACAGTTTTTGAGTTTTTCGATAACTTCTTCTTTGGTCATATTCTTGGCCGGGGTGGTTTTCTCCTTGGTGGGCTTGGTTCTAAAATCACAAGCAGGCATTTAGAACCCATCAAGTGACCTGGGCAGGGCACCCAATTTCCATGCAACCCGTGACAAAAAGGTTCGCGCTCCCTGTCTGACAAGTAAGGAGACAGATGCTCAGAAAGGGGGCGTGACTCAGATGTCACACACCCTGCTGGCTTGCAGAGCCACGGCCAGAACGCAGGTCAGCAGCACTGTGTCCCCGTGAGAACTCTTCCCGCAGAGCCCCTAACAGTGGTGGTCTGCCTGGGTCGGGAGCGTTAGAGGATTCTGTCATCCTCGTGCTGAAATTTTCAACTGTGCTTTGAGCTGGCCACACATGGTGGGAGACTGGACACACGTGGTTGAAAAAGGATATTTTTTGTAAAGTGAGAATGGCTGTAAATTAAAGAAATAGGCCATTTCATGTGACTAGATTTGGGGACTCATCAAACACCCACGGAAAGGAAGGGAGGTCCACAATGATTCCAAGGTGATTTATGAAATATAAATTGTATGTGCTGTGAATGTGAGGAGGGGTGCAGGAGTGTGTGTGTGTTTGGGGTATGATTCTTTTCTCAGTTCTCTCGAAGTCTCTTGGGTCCCGTTTTTGCAGGGGGATCAGCCACCACGTCGTCATGGGGAACGGCCTTCTGTTCTTTCCCAGCCGCTTCTCTTGACTTTTAGGAACTCCTTGGGAAAGTTCACATTTTATGAAATGCTTAATCACCATTGCCTCTTTTACCAGCTTTTGGAAGCAGACATATCTTATCTCAGAATATTTAACCTTTCTCTTAAAACACCCTCTTTCTGCCCATTTATAACGCAGTGCCTACTGAACAGCACAGATATTCAAATTTCATTAGCATGTCATTAAATATCCCCATTGCTCACGACACTGAAGAACTTTCTAAAAGGCTAGGACAAAGTGAAACCTGCTGAATAGTGCTACACTTTACCTTTCATTATGGATTTATTATAAGCTATGAAGGAGGCCGTTAAAATAGTATCTTTTCATTAGACTAACTTATATTTTTAAATGAAGAAGAGCTAGAATATTCATGAGTCCAATTCTTTATAGATTTACTAAGTATGGTTTATTGTTACAATTCAATTTGGCAATTATTTTAATAATTCTATCATTCATATTAAAAAATGTTAACTGGTTTAAGGGATGCGTGTTCCAATAAATATTCCTTGGTGATAAGGAATGTAAATTTCTAGAAAGGAATAAATGTGAACACAGGTATGTAGTAGCTGAGTTGCAGACCAGCATCTCTGAGAGTTAGAATTCTGGACTCCTGACCCAGGCCAGCCCCTGAGTTTGTAAGACAAGTCCCCAAACCTCTCAGACATCAGTGCTTTTGTTTCTAAAATTAACAAGTAGGCTTATTCCTAAGATGTCTTGTCTGCTGTAAAGTTCTCTGACCCTGACCACTGTATTTATAGCAAGCCATCATTCTCATTTAAATAATAAAATATTAAAATGCTCATTTAGTTAACAAATGTTAAAATATTCACTGGGTTCTATTTTACCTCTCAGAAAGGTCCAGGTGCTCCTGTTCTGCTTTATGAAAATGGGCACAGAAGGGATCCTTTGGAGCAGGAGCTGAAGAGACGGTGGGCAGAACATTAATTCCTAGGCTTTCCAAAAGTTTCTTATAGAGGATGCCTCCTGAAGCAATATCCTGAAACTTACTGCAGAGTCTGAGTTTTAAAAATAATTAAAATACACCCATTAGAATGACTAAAATTAAAAAGACAGACACTAGCAAGTGTTGATGAAGATGCTGGGGGGGTGGTCACTGCAAGCTTCACCCACTGCTGGGGGGTGGAGAAGGGGGATGGTTTGACAACTGAACTGCGGTTACCACAGGAACCAGCTGTTCTGCTCCTAGGCATTTTCCCAAGAGGAAGAAAAAAAAGTATGTCTACACAAAGAGTTATATGATATAGACAAATAGCTAAAAACTGGAAACAAACTATGTATCTATCAACAGGTAAACAAATACACAAGCCGTGGTGAAACCGCAGGATGGAATACGGCCCAGCAATGCAGAGGCAGGAGGTGTTAATATGTGTAACAATGTGAATGAATCTCAGAATCGTTATACTTAGTGAATAAAGGCAGACAGAAAATGGAACGTCTTGTGTGCTTCCATTTATACAAAGTCCTAAAAAATGCAAAGTAATCTACAGCGAAAGAGCACAGGTCAGTGGTTATGTGGGGCAGGAGGACGGAGTAAGGTGCTGCGAAAGGGGCCTGAAGAAGCTTTGCGGGGTGATGAGATGTCTGACATCGACTTGTGATGGTCTTACAGACACATGATGAGTTTCATCACATTGTATCATTTAAACACCTCTAGCTTATTGTATATAGCGTATGCTACAATAAAGATACAATCAGTTCAAAAAAGAGAATTTTTTCAAAATTATAAATGTTGGCATGGATTTGTGTAAGAATTTAGATTGGCATTTTAGCATATGCAAATATTTTAGCAAAATGTAGGAAACCAATGTCAGGATTAATTTCTTTTTGAAAGTTTTGTTAAGATTTTTCTAATCATAAAGTTGTACATGCTTATTCATGCAAATTTGGTAAAGTCTGAGGATCTAAACAAAATTTTACATAGTCATTAGAATCTGCAGGACAACAGAAACAGCAGATCAGGTGAGTAGGGAGGGTGTTCCAATACAGTTATTCATTTACTGGCTAAAAACTCCCTCACAGACAGTGCTGTGTCAGCTGGTGCACTGTTGTGATGCAAGAGCCCTGAGTTGTTGCCACAATTTGCAGCTAAGATTTTCCAAACTGTTTCTCTACCAGCGTTTACTTGGTCTACACACTGTCTTAGTCTTAGCCTTCTCACAGCCAGGTGATGACTTTGACACGCAATTTGATGAATATTTGCAATGTTTTCTGCTTGTATTGTTTCAATACAATGTTCTGCTTGTATTGACTGCCCTGACCTCTCTTCATCAGTGAGGCTTTCTCTCCCTTCAGAAAAACATTTAATCCTTTAAATATGCAGTAAGAATTGGGTAAAATGCAAACATCTGAGCCAGGCACACCAAGCCCCTCCTGATCAGTGAAGCTTTTGCTCCATACCTCCTCTGCTTATAAATCCTTCTTTTCCTATAAAAACCAGCCACTTAGAGAATGAGTTAGAACTCAGACTTTACCTTACAAATGCAAACAATGTAATCTAATCTGAACCCTCACATTAATCTGAAATAAAACACGAGTTGGGCTCATGAATGTTCACAGAAAGGAGACGCAATGGCCAATAACCACCCAAGAGATCGACTTGGTTTCACTTAGAATCAATGTAATGTAAATAAAATCAACAAATATGATTTATCACATCTCAATCAGAAGGACTAGAAGAGAATTAAAATAATATTCTTTTCTTGATTCAATTTGATTCCCCCCTCAAAGAAATTCCCCCAGTCACTGCCCTCACTTTGGGAAACACTGGACTAGACAGCCTGTGAGGTCGTCCTGGTCTCAGTTCTGCGAGAGCATGTCTGAGAGGACGGTGAGGAGGTGACAATGGACCTACCGTCCTCTGCAGACTCGAGGGTTCTGAATGGTAGGTTCTCAAGGTCTCTGCAAAGAAGGAAGCAACCAAGCTCTCTGCAACCCCGGAGGAGACATGTGGGTGGTGAACAGACTCTAAGGAGGGACCAGAGGGGCCTGCTCTCCTCTTTTCCTCCTGTCCTTATTCTCTATCTGACGTCTGCCCCCTCCAGCTTCAGCTCATCCACCACTAGTGAAGTTTTACACTAAGGGGATAAGAAAGTGGGGTTCGAGCTGCTGTTGTGGGATGACAGCCACAGCTGGACACACTGGGAGGAAAAGCCACACAACCACTGAGGGGACAGATTTCCTTGTCTTGACCCCACTAGGAGAGGTGAGCAGTCAGCAAGAACCAGCAGTGGCCTGAATATCACATCTCTTGGCCCACAAATAAAATGCTGATAACTAGGCTCTGTGGTAACCATGACTGGTCTTCACCTAAGTCCTTAGTTGATTATGTGTTAATACCACAAGAAACTCTTGATAGTGATGTGCTGACCATCAGTGCTCAGCATATTTAACTGTAGCAACTAAAACAAAAGAACTGTCAACATTCAGCAAGAGTTGAGATGAAGCTGGGTTCAGTGGCTCACACGTGTAACCAGCACTCTGGAAGGCCAAGGCCAGTGGACTGCCTGAGCTCAGGAGTTCCAGACCAGCATGAGCAAGAATGAGACCCTCGTCTCTAAAAACAAATAGCTGGATGTTGTGGCTGGCACGTGTAGTCCCAGCTACTCGGGAGGCTGAGGCAAGAATATCATTTAAGCCCAAGAGTTTGAGGTTGCTGTGAGCTGTGACACCACAGCACTCTACCAAGGGCAACAAAGTGAGCCTCTGTCTCAAAAGATGAATAAATAAATAAAGATATTTGCTCCCCCCCCAAAAAAAATAGAAAACACATGCGCCCTGGAAGGCAAGGCTCCCTACCCACTGTGAGACTTGCAGTGGGTATTTAACTTGTCCATAGAAAGAAATAAGACTAGTTAGTTACCTTACATACCTTACAGTATATTAGGTAGTAACACTAGTTACTGGTAAGTTAGTTAGTGGTAAGGACTAAGTCACATTACACATATTGAATTCTTAACCAATGTGCAACACTTGTAAGCATTAAATAAATAGCCACTGTTATCACTATTGCAATAGCCACTGCAAAAATACACAAAGGTTTAGAATTATGAAACAGATTTGGTGAAAAATATGACATGAATTACTTACCTCACGAAATGTTTGTTTGTTAAAAATGGGCAGAATATAAGCATGATTCTCTTGAAATTACTTCGACCAAGGATCCCTGTGTCTGCAGTATCAGATGTTCGCAGCATGCTGTAAAAAGCCTGTGGGCTCCTGTTAATGGCCTCACGCACGGCTTCTTCTACCTACCATAAAAACCAAACACAGCTCCTGAGCTGCCTGTCCGTTTGTAAACCATGTGACCTGAGCCGCCTGTC